CACCTCTGCATTAGACTGCAAAGCACAGTCTGTCACATTCACACTAGCGTGATTCTCGCAGACTGTCTGCGCAGCTTGTATCTGTAGCATGTATTTAACCCGTGCAGGAGGATAGAGCTGCAACAAACACAATATCACATCAAATACATCAGAGTAAAGGAGCCGGATGTTATATGATGATGAACATGACACTTACCTGAGCTGCGTCTGATATGATATCCACCACTTTAAAGGCGTACGGATAGCTACTCATGCGATTGTGGACGTCCATGGCAAAGTTTGCCACATTAATGACATTATGGTTGTAATTTAGCTTCACACTGTGTCCTGAGACAATAAAAGCTGAGAAAACGGATGCAAAAAGGGTGAGAAGGCAAACCATCTCGGCAGCTTGTGAATCTGTGGGAACAAAAGCAAAGTCAAAATCATCTGGGTGTATCAGTAGGAGGGTGGAAACATTAATAGCCATAAATTCCTGACGCTTTAACACACCTCTATTTATCTGCTGCATAAGAGCTTCTCGGGTTTCTGCATCCTGCTGACTGACAGACGCTCACGCTTCAGTTAGATTCACAGACTCATCAAAAACTAGAAGAGATGCAAAGCTTTTCCATCGCAAACCATCACAGAAAATCCATGTCATATTCTCACGTTCTTCACTGCAGCTGCATTGATGTTTTTACATCATCTGCCATGTCACATGACCACTGACCAGACCGGCTGCATGCACCAGGACCCAATGCTGAGCAGTCCATAATATCTCCTGCTGAAAAAGGCTTGAACAATTCCTGCTGGGAATAAAAACAGCTTGCTGGTTTCAGATGGTGTAAACTGGTTCTGAGTGCCTGAAACTAGCAATCCAAACCAGTCTGATGAGTTTAAGCGGTGTGGACACATCACATCAGGCTGGGTTGAAGAGCAGGAAAGTGTTAATATTTGATATAAATGATCAGATTTTGCATGCTGCGTTAACATAAGCTGTCCATTTTGCTGCTATAATCTGTGCCACTGAAATGCACGGCTGTTGTGTCTTTGAAAACAACTTCCTTGACTTTGCACTCGGCATCAAGAGCTTTTGTTAACCCTTTGTTGGTCTTCTGATTTCTGTGAGAGTCTTATGTTCACAAAATCATCATTCTTGGGACCGAGGAGCTCAAACAGGCTGAAAGTGTTTTGAAGCACAGGTTTCCCGAGTCCATCAAGGTGTGGCGATTCTAGAAAGGTTTATGAAAGTTTGAGGTTTAACCTATCGGATTACCACAGCTTTTATTTTCACTCGCTTAAGAGGAGCAGCCGGTTAATATTCACTTGTTTTCCAGGTTTATGGCTGTATATCCTCCTGACAACCAGGAAAAAAAACAGTTTTGTGAATTTAGTATTTTGTCATGTCATTACATTGTTTAGAGCATAAGAAAAAAATTGAAAAATGTATTCATATGTTAGGCCATGTCCTCTGTAGAAGACATCGGGACTTTAAAAAGTTCTCTATTCATTTGTTGTGTTTCCCAAAATGTGTAATAAACATGCTTTAAGTCCTGGTGTCCTCTACGGTGGACATGTATGAAATCGACGTCCGGTTTCATAACAGAAGGACATATTTTGATTTGAAACCCCATAACATTTTCCTGAGATGTTGATTTATGACAAACAATTTGAAAATTAGTCAGATTTAAATGATAATTACAAAATATTATCATATTTCCATAAGGGTGTTACACTTAATCACTAAATGAATGTCAGCTATTTTAAAGACCAAGGAGAGGGAGCGGTCACGGTGAAACAGCCAATCATTTAGTATCTCTGAAAAGCCCTGAATGTGCTCTGTACAGGACATGTGACATGTAACGTCTCAGAGAAATCACTAAAACATAATGTCCTCTACAGAGGACAAAACTCCATAGCTGGTAGTCAGGAGGATATTCAACATAAACAGAGGAAAGCCTCACAATCTGGAGGTTATTGCAGACCAGTGGCCAGATTTCACTCTCATTATTTGCAAACCCAAAGTTCAGATAACATTATTTTACAGATCCAGACAGTTATGATTTGTTTAAAAAACTAGTCATGTTTTTTTAAACCATAGTTTAACTGTGGTATTTGTAGTAAACCCAAGCATATGCAAAACTATACTTTATAGACAATGCTTAGTGCTGTTATTGTAAACTAAGACTACTAAAAATCATTTTTGTTGACTGAAATAAATCTGAAATAAAGTAAAATAAATATTAGAAGGAAAACTTCAGCTTAAAAAGTGTAATGAAAACTAAAACATGGCAACTAACTGAAAAACAAAATTATTTAAAAAAATACAGGTTGAAGTTAAAGTAATACATTTATTAAAAACACACAATTACTACAACAAATTAAAATTAAAAAACTGAAAATATACAAATAAAAGCTATTTGAATATGAATACATACTACAATAATAAATAAAAATACTAGAATAACAAATCGATATATATAAATCATGACATAAATTATATATATTTTCTACTTTATATATTTACATATACGCTTTATTTATTTATTTGTTCATTTATTTAACAAGTTACTTTCAAATCCAAGTGCGTTTTTTTTAACAGGGAGCAAAGGATGGAGAAGGAGATTTTAACACATACAGCATCTACTCAAAGAGCAAAGCCTGAAAAACTCTGGACACACCTGGTGTGATCAATAAACATGCATTCACATTATTAGCAGGTACACACTCTATTCGTAATCAACTTAATTGCCTGAAATAACTAGTTTTGTGACTGTGACAAAATAAAACATGCACAAACCTGTTGGCTGCCTTAAAGGGGTTGACATCAGGTATTTAGAAGCAGTTCAGGAGTTTGCGGATCAACATGGTCTTCCCTGGAAAGGATGAAGGACAGCTGCAGATTAAAGAGAGGTGCTATCATTATCATACTCTTAAACATCAAATGTTATCTTATGTTAGGCTTAAAGCAACTGTATGCGACTGATTTTACCTTTATATATCAGTGTCAAATTCATTCTGACGATACACTGACTTAACATAAGGCCAATGGCTTCTTTTTGTTCCTCTCACAAACCAGTAAGTTCGCTGAGCGGGTACGAAATACCGCGAAAATGGTGGATTGCTTTACGGCAGCAACAAATGCACGTCTACAGCCAAAGCAGCTTTAAGACAAGCAGAGGTTTCACTATGCTGAATAAACAGCTTTTCGTTTAAAGGATCTACAGCATATTCAATTCACATTCACATTCGTTTTGGATGTATCTAGCCTATTGTTAGACTTTACACAGAAAAAATATGCTACTGTTTTGTAGGAGAAGTCATGGACAATTTTGCAACAGGTTTATGGTATTTTCATTCGTTTCTATGGTATCTGCAAACAGCATTGACTGTCTCAATGAAGTGGAGGCTGTGATGTGATTGGTTATCAAAGCACACGTGATCAAAGTTGGACTTTACAACCAATAATAAAAGCAGCTCTGGTATTGCAGTGAACATATTTACGACAGTGAATTACACTCACTTACCTGAAGGGGGCTCCAAAGTTGCAAAAATACACAGAACTACAGTTGCTTTAATATCCCAAAACATGTCCAACCAGCACAAACGCAAATATTATACCATTGTTATATTTTTCATTTATTTATGAGTTTTGCCATTTTTGCAGGGTTTGAAAAAAAATGAAACAACACATTGTAACTTATTTTATTTAACAAATAGGCCTACCTTCTTGAATTTTCCTTGTTTTTATTACTTGACATTTTCTTATATTCGATGTTTTTTTCAGTTATGCTGGACTCAGATTGGCTCCGCTTAGTGCAGCTCACGCTCATCTAGTAAACAGCACGTGGAAGTATGGCGGAGACCGTAACAGCTACAACTCGGTGCAGAACTACATTACCCACAATCCTTCACTGTGCGTGATACAGGAGGGCGGCACCGAGCCCGTCTTCTGGCTGCTTGTGTACCAACCCACAGTCTATGGTACCAACACGCTGCTCTTGGTTTGCTCTACACGTTACCACAACACAGACGGAAAGGCTACACAAAGTTACTGATGTCTGTGATGGACAAAAACTTCCTGGACCGAGCACACCCTGTGTCCGGTTTTGTGGAAAAGGAAAATTACTCTTCCTACAAACTTTTCACATCACTTGGGTTCCAGAATTCACCAGATTACAGGGCTGTGTGTGGTTTGAGCTGAAAAAAAGACAATAAATACAAATATAAATCACCTTAAAAAAGTAATCACCTCTTCATTATTTGTGTGTGTGTGTATATATATATATATATATATAATTATTAAGTGATTAATATTTGCATATGTGCAAATGTAAAAATACAAATAATGAAGAGGTAATTAAAATGTATGTATATTTCTAGCAACAAAAAAAATCCACCTATATGAAAATATAAATAGCCTATGTCAAAATGTTACTTTTTTATATATATTGCACATTTCTAGCATACAAAAAAATCAATGTATGCAAATAAAAATCACTTAAAAATGTCACTCTGGAATGTTTAATCACCTCTTCATTATTTGTAATATTTTATATATTTATTTTATATGCATATTTCTAGCACACAAAATAATCTGAATATATGCAAATAAAAATCACTTAAAATATCGTGGAGTTTTTAATCACCTCGCTACTTGTAATATTATTATATAGTTTTTTTTATACACAAGATTTCTAGCATACAAAAAACTGAATATATGTAAACAAAAATAACTTAGTGTTACTGGTATTTTTAAACGTCTTCATTATCTGTAATATTTAGTAATTTTTTCAAATTTTCATATGCATATTTTTAGCTTAAAATAACTGATTGTATATTATATTTTATAATAGAAATCACTTATAATGTCACTCTAAAGTTTTTAGTCACGTCTTATTTTACAAAATACAAAAATTTGAACAGATTTTTCAAGCATGTGTATTTTTGCACTTCAAATATAGGAAACCTCGCAAATAACTCATAATGCATATAAATCTTAGTTTTATTAAGTCGTATCCCCTACATTAGAGTACTATAAAACAGTACAAAGTTTATATAATGTAGAAATCACTTCTAATATTCTAAAAAAAAACTGTACAAAACCTGGATAAACATGTAGTACACAAATAAAACTCATAAAGTTAACAAAATGGCATATCTCAGTTGTTTAGCTTCCCTTTGTCATAAACAAACATTAGACCTACTCTAATCTGTTTATGCTGCTGTCAACATTTTTCAACTTTTTTTAAGATCCATTTAAAACAAATGAAGGCCTAAAATCATTAAAAAGCTCTTGATATGCTTCTAAAATCGAGCGTTACCTCCAAACCGCTTCAGCGAAACGAAACCCGGGCTAATGTGAAAAACATCAAGTGCTGATCTACACACGTCTGTTTGCTTTTCATGTTATCCCACAACTGAAGCACGTTAATGCAATAAATAAAAGTGAAATTACATGTTAAAACGACTGGCATTCAGCACAACACGCTCATGTCCACAGCTTCATGGCACTTTTAAAGCAAGAAGGTCTGAATGACGTGGAGTTTGTAGTAGCACACACCGCTGTAACGCCACAGACTCGGCTGCATACTAAGTACACAACCACTTTGGTTAAAAAGCGCCTCGGCAAAACACAGGCCTGCAGACACCTCAGTGTTCAATCCCTTAAGATCCGATCTGTCAAAGAATTTCCCTGATGAGGGATTTTGAAGACTCGCTGGCAGCTTGTCCAAGTCAGTGGTAAGTAGAGGAATTAAAGTGGCGATGCAAGTACAGCTGAAGGCCACTAGGTGGAGGCAGCGGCTATGAGTCCTTCACTCTGATGGATGTTGTGATGAAGTTCTGCTTTGCATATTGTGGGAGCAGCACAGTGCAGAGAGCTGAAAGCAGGGGGCTCCTCATCACCTACACACACAAAAACACATGCATGGTCAATATAGCTGCCATAAACCTCTATTCTGAAATAATAATTAATAATATAGTAATTAGTCATTTAAATTGTATAGTAATTTAAGTGATAAAAATTAAACTTCAAATCAAAATCAATCAGGAAATGTATTACTACTGCAAACATAATAATGTACTGTAAAAAATAGTATTTATAATAATAATAATTATTATTATTACTACTTCTAGTATTCTTATCATTATCAATTTAAGAATAATTGTATTTTAGTATTTAAATTATAAAAATTTAACAATTTAACAAAAATTAATCGATAAAGAAACATCACTATTGCAATCATACTAGAGTACTTTAAAATAAAAAAATGAGTATTCCTTAATATTATTAATAATAATAGTAATTAATCATTTAAACTTTATAGTTTAAAAAATATTCAATAAAGAAACATTACTATTGCAATCATACTACAGTACTTTAAAATAAAAAATTAGTATTTATTAATATTATTAATAATAATTGTAATTAATCATTTAAACTTTATAGTGATTTAAATGTTAAAAATTAAACTAATAAAAAATATTACTATTGCAATCATAACACTATAATGTAATTTTTTATATTATTACTATTATTATCAACAATAATAATAACAATAATTATTATCTATTTCTAAATCACATTTTTATTTTATTATTTAAATAATAACATTTATTATTAATGCTAATTAACTAATACTAATTAACAAATTAATAAAAAATGTATTACTATTGCAATCATGCCACTGAACTGTAAAATAAAAAAACTAGTATTTAATATTATTACTACTATTATTATTAACAAAATTCAAAATATTTATATTTTATTATTAATTAAGTTATAAATATTAAACTAATCAATAAATATTAACAATTATTATTGTTGTTGTTATTAATCAAAATAATATTTCTATTTTATAGTTAGAAATTAGAAAATTAAACTAATCTAAATTACTATTGCAAGAATACTATTGTACTGTAAAACAAACAATTATTTAATAATAATTACATAAATTTGAATAATAATCATTGTTTTATTTCGCAGATCAACAGGGAAACTACAATACTAATATATACTAATATTCTTTGCTTCTAGCTGTAAATCTTTTCAGTTTTTTATAGATTTATAAATTATCATCAAATCATTACAAATATGGATGGTTGACACGTGTTGTGTCCATGTAAATACGGAAAAATCACAACCTTGTGTGAAGCTCCACGACCCACTTACACCTCAGTATATATTTACATTGCATATATTATTTAAAAAATTGCATATATTATTTTTTAAAGGGAATTATTTCCCTAAAATGAAATGGTATATTTCTATATGTTAAATGCCTACCCAGTCCCAAGGAGGAGGACACGCTGTCGGCCAGAGACGAGTTGTCGTGGTCCGGTGAGAGTCCGTCCATCAGCGGGATGGAGAGCTCTGAGGACGGGACGGACGAATCGTAGATCCCCGAGTCTCTGGGCATCTCCACCGGACTGGCCGATCCGTCGGGCCGAGACGACCCGGTGTCCTGATGAGACGAACCCTCCCCGAGATCCTCCTGCGACAAACTCAGCGAGAGCCCCAGCCTCGGCGTCTGCGGCAGCATCAGGACGTTGCTCCTCACGGGACAGTCACTCTCCGAGGGGTGTTTGAGCTTCACCTCGTTCAGGACGAGCCCCGAGTCGAGCTTCTCTGGAGGAGGGAGGAGTTTATTCGGGAGCGGCGGCGGCATGAGCTGCTTCTCGAACCAGTCGGGCTCCTGCTCGATGTGCTGGTGCATGTTACAGATGGCCACGTACAGCGAGCGGCCCGATTTGCTGCGGAAGTAGTTGCGTTTGCTGACGTTCGGCGGCTGCGGCTCGCGGTCGGTCAGGCTGAGCTGGCGAGAGTGGAGTCTGGCGAAGAGCAGGGGAAGATGGTCCATTAGTTTGTATTTGGGCGCCAGGTTGAGAGAAGTCGGTACGTCGCTCTCGTGAGAGTAGTCGAAGTACACCGACATGAAGCGCGAGAGGTCCGAGGATTTTTGATGCACCTCTTTGATTTTTTCGGCGATCATCGCCGTGGCAACGATGAACAGGTCCCTGCTTCCGGCGGAGTCGGGTGCGGTCGGTTCTCGGTTGTTCTCCTTCGACGTGGCTTTGCCCTTACGGTGTCTTTTCTCCACGAAATACTTCAGGCCTTTGGAGCAGACGGTAATGATGAAGTGAGCCTCGTCGATACGCCGGCTCAGCCAGGACATCTGACCCTCCTTACAGATCTCCAGGTGCTGCCAGAGATCCAGCGCCACCTGAGCATTCACACACAGACCCAAACACTTCAAAAAAATGAGTCCGGTAGCAAAGACTTTTATACAGTGACTCGAGGTGAAGTGTCTTGATAAAGAGCACAGTGATTCAACAACTTCTGCTTCAGTTAGTTTTATTTCGCATTCACGTGAGTTAAAAGCATCAAAGTTTCCCACAAATACTCATGAAGATCGGCTAGACAAAGAAAAAAGAAAAGAAACCTGTTTTTCTCCATTTAATAAGACTAAATAATAATATAAATTATTATTATTATTCCAAATGTTTGTAATAATATAATAATATTCATACTTGTAATAAAATAATAACTTTTAATGATAATGATGATAATATGATAATATTTTTAATTTGCAATAAACAACAGTAAAAATACCGTTTTTATTAATAATAATAATATATTTATATATTTTAATTATTATTAAATTCTAAATATTAAACGATCAATGAAGAAATATAAGAAAATTGTACTGTAAAAAAGAAAAAAAAAGAGTATTTAATAATAATATTCAAAATAATGTATTTCATCATTATTTAAAATATAGGAAATAAACAACAATAAGAAATACAGTGTTTATTAATAATAATTATTATTATTATTCATATATTGTAATTATGATTAAATTCTAAAAATTAAACAATCAATGAAGAAATATATAACTATTGTACTGTAAAAAAGAAAAAAAAAAGAGTAATAATAATTTAATAATAATATTAAAAATACTGTATATATCTGTGTATATCATTATTTAAAATAAAGGAAATAAACGAATTATATATTTAAAATAATATACTACTAATAATAATATTAATAGTCATTATTATTGTAAATTAAATTTAACACAACAACAGTAAAATTACAATAATAATATTTATGGCTGTCTTCATTTCTTTGCTTTCAGACATTTATCTATAGAACTTTTATTTTGGTGGAAAACTTCTGAGGGACCTTAAAGCTTGTTAGTTAATAAATAAACAATAGTTCATTGAATTTGTTCAAGTTAGTTCACAGTACATTAACTAATGTTAAAAGATACAACTTTTAATTTTAAAAAGCACTAGTAAATGTTGAAATTAACAATAATTAATGAAGACTGTAGAAGTATTTATTATTGTTAGTTCATGCTAAGTAACTAACGTAGTTAACTAATGTTAACAAATGAAAACTTGCAGTAAAGTGTTTTCTTTGGAATAACAATGACTGATGATTCATGCACAGGATCGTGACCAGGAACAAGTAATAGGTAAGTAAATAAATTAATTTCTTATTTCATGTTGACATCTGGATTACTATCTCTGGAATAATTTGAGTGAGCAAACAGTCTTCAACTTTCTTCTGCCACTAGAGGGCGTCAGGAGCAAACATTTCAAAGTTTTTTTGAAAGAAGTTTCTGAAAGAAGTCTCTCTTCTGCTCACCAAGGCTGCATTTATTTAATCAAAAATAGAGTAAAAATTGTAAAATATTATTACAATTTAAAATAACTGTTTTCTATTTGGATATATAGTCAAATGTAATGCGCAGCTGAATTTTCAGCATCATTTTAATATGCTGTTCAAGAAACACTTTTTATTTTTATTAATGTTGAAAACAGTTGCTTCATATTTTTGTGGAAACTGTGGTGCTTTTTTTGGATTCTTTGATGAATAGAAAGTTCAACAGAACAGCATTTATTTAAAATATATATATTTTTTATAACATTATAATTGTCTTCACTGTCAATGTTGATCAATTTAATGCGTCCTTCCTTCCTGAACAAAAATATTACTTAATTTAAAATAAAAATCTTTGAATAGTAGCGCATTTCATTTCGAAGCACAGAAAGGTAAAGCCTGACCTCACAGCCGCAGAAGTCCTGCAGGAAGAAGGCGAAGCTCTGGATGACGGCGAGGTGTTTGGGACAGTCTCTACTGGAGTAACAGATGAAGATCTTGGGTCTGGGCCAGGGTCTGTCTGCGCTCAGCGCCGTGGTCTGAGATGAAGACTCTGAGCTCTCCTCGTCCAGGTGGGAGTAGATGTTCTCTGCAGAGGAATTCAGATCAAAGACGAGAATCTAACCAGGATCAAATGAGATTTGTAGCGAGTGGGAAAAAAGCACATTTATTGTTTCCATATGATGAGAGCTCCTTTTAGAGCACTGTAAGAATTGAAAGTAAAGCCTAATTTGTCCATGTTAGAGCAACAGATGTTTTTGTCTAACATCACCCCAATCCACCTTCACAAAAATTTACCATATTTTGAGCTTAAAATACTGGAGTTAATAGAAAAGTCTTACAGACTTGAAGACTAAACATATCTAGAGCAGGGTTATTATAGTTAACTAAAACTAAAGCCATCTAAAAAAAAATTGTTAACTGAAAAAAATATATTATAATAATTTCAGCTAGTTAGCTAAAACTAAAACTTTAAAAAAAACACTTTCATTACTTGAAATAAAATAAACATTAACTAAAATAAAATATTCCAAAAAATGTATTAACTAAAACTAAAACCATTAAAAAAGTATTTTTGTTTCTTGAAATGAAATAAACCATAACTCAAATAAAATATAATAAAAAATGTGGACTTATTGACTAAAAGTTGACTAAAATATAACTATAAAAATGTTAACTGAAATAAAATAAAATATAAAACATAAACTTATTTTATTTTAGCTAGATAACTAAAACCAAAAAAAAAGAAAAAATACATTTGTTACTTGAAATAAAATAAACTTTAGCTGAAATCAAATCAAATATTTATAAAATCATAAATGTATTGTATTTCAGCTAATTGACTAAAACAAAACAAAAAACATTTTTGTTACTTGAAATAAAATAAACATTAACTGAAATAAAGTATAAAAAAAACTTAAACTTATTTCAGCTAGTTGCAACATTTCTCATTTTAATTTAGTTTAACTCAATGTACTAAAAGAACTAAATAAAAACTGGAATGAAAAAATAATTTAAAAAAAATAGAAGAAAACTAAAACTAATAAAATAACAAATGACAAATAAATTACTAAAACTTTAACTAAAAATAAAATGAAAACTAAATAAAAATGTATTCAAAATAGTAATAAAAATTATAATAGTATCTCAATGATACTAAAATTACACCGATCTAGAGACCAGAATAGAATTTTTGTGGCACAAGCAACCAGAACATCCTTAACTAACTAGCAATGCCCTAACAACCACCCAAAACACATTAGCAACCACACAGGAACGCCAAGGCAACCCTAGAATCATGGTGGTGACTTCACATACAAATTTCTTTGGAAAAAAAAAAATCTAGGATTTTACAGTAACTAGAAATTAAGGTATTTTCTAAGGTTTTGTGAGGGAAATCGTCCCAAAACATTGGAAACTGAACATCTATGCAAACTATTCTGAGGAAACGCACATGTAATGAGCGAGTTGTGCTTCTGTGAGATGCATTGCACACTAACAGGCTTACAGGAGTTTCTTTTGTGTGGCTCAAGCAGAGCTGCAGCAGAATGGCGTGAGGGCAAATGCTTAGATTCCATCACGCATTAATCCTCGTCAATGCCGTCAGATTACACCGACCGGCTTACAGATCCCGCACAAAAGAGAGGAAACCCGAGCCTCGCTAATGACGGACACGCACCTTGCTGCTTCTTGCGACACATGACGGTGAAGAGAGTGGCGAAGGCCGACATGATAACCAGCGGGACGGTGATGGCCATGGCGCGGATCGGTCCGGCCCACGGAGAATGCACTGAAACAACATCTGATCAGTGCAAAAATACAGACGCTGAACATGCACAAAGTACACAAATTTCACTATTTTTTACCTTGGCTCACGTGGTACTGCGTCTGTTTTCTGGTCGTGTTGTTGTCATCGCGAAGCTGCGGGAATAAGAAAGTGAATTTGTTCTGCTTTGTTCAATAAACGATACGAAATTTAATTGCGTATGATATGAATAACGCGCAAACCTCTATTGCATAAGTTCCTGGAGTGACGTCTTGTAAAACACATGTAGTTTTGGGGCCATTTTGCTCCTGCAAGGGAAGCAGAGACACATTATTTACAAAAGTGTAATGCATTTTATGTACAATGACAATATAATGGATTAAATCACAATATTTGGATCATTCCATAAATCAAGAGCTTTTTGTGGCCTTCATCCACAAATGAAAATTTGTTCAACATTTCCTCACTCTCAGGCCATCCAAGAAGTAGATGAGTTTGTTTCTTCATCAGATTTGGAGAAATGCAGCATTACATCACTGTCTCAGCAATGGATGCTCTGCAGTGAATGGGTGCCGTCAGAATGAGAGTCCAAACAGCTGATAAAAACATCACAATAATCCACACCACTCCAGTCCATCAGTTAACATCTGGAGAAGTGAAAAGCTGCGTGTTTGGAAGAAACAAATCCATTACTAAGATGTTTTTATCTTCAAACCACTGCTTCTGGCTAAAATATGTAATAATCCATAATAATGCTTCCTCCAGTGAAAAAGTCCATCTCCTGTTGTATCTCACATCAAAATCCAGCCACATATCTGTTTAGAGCTGTTTTGGCTTGTAAATGGTGCTTGATCTGTGCAGATTTCTCTCTGATTCAGACCAGACCACTTTTTCACTGGAGGAAGCATTAATATGGATTATGGACTCATGGTTAACTTGTTTGAAGTTAAATACATCTTAATAATGGATTTGTTTCTCACAAACATGCAGGTTTTGTTTTCTCCAGATGTTAACTGATGGACTGGAGTGGTGTGGAATACTTGTGGATTATTGTGTTTTTATCAGCTGCTTGGACTCTCATTCTGACGGCACCCATTCACTGCAGAGCATCCATTGGTGAACTACATGAAGAACCAAACTCATCTACATCTTGGATGATCTGAGGGTACATTGTCAGCAAACTATCTTTGAAAACTTGATATTCACAGACATATTAGCACTGAATTTTCTTTCCAATAAATACCTTTACGTGTCATTACTTTAAGAACAAGGCTGGAAAAAGCTAAATAAACTGTTCAACCCTGTCACTTTTAATTAACTTAAACATCCAAACACAAGGATCCAAACTTGCAGTTTATGTTTACAGATGCTATACATTAAAACAGGGTTTGTAATGCACTCAGAAACCAGTGGTGGGAAACTGAAATGCTAACAATGATCTCACAGAGACCCATAGAGCGTCTGAACTCTGGAATCCCCCGTTGGTGGCGTCGCTCACCTCAAATTTCACCTCTTTCTATTATCGCTACAAACAATGCTGTCCGGCCCGGCTAAGATATGACTGCTGCGCTCTTCTGAAAAGAGTCAGGACAATGCTTTTACACCCTTTAATAGGAAGAAGATGTGAATAATATGCTTCAAAAGAACACAAAATGACACAAATATGAAACACCTCATGCTGGTGTTGAAATAATAAAACCTCTAAATGAAATCAATCCCAACATTGTGATTCCAAGACTGTTTCGGCCAAAGACGTACAGGGATAGCTCAAAAAAAGACAAAAAAAAACATAAAAGTGCGCATTTACACATGGAGTGTCATTTATCTTTCTGTAGTTAATTAACCTGTGACTGTTGTTTATTTCACTGTGTTAATATTTTATGTTTAATTGCTTATTGCACGCAGGGTTTGAGAAAAGTGTATCACAAACAAAATGCTAAATAATAATGATTATAATAATTTTTATTTATAGAAAAATAAATAAAAACTACTACTAATAATAATATTACCAATATTAATAATAATAATTTAAATACTATTATTATTATTATTATTATGCATTTTATTTGTAATGCAATTTTTTCAACTACTATTACTAGTATTATTATTAATATATAATGTAAATAATAATAATATAAATGTATTATATATATAATATATTAATATATTACAAATAAAATATAATTAT